AAAATATTGTCTGCAGTGTAACACAGTGTTATTAGCAAAGCCACTAAAGCAGAACAGATAATAAATTAACCTCTGTAATTTTATTGCACACATCTTTTATCTAGTATTCTATGATTTTAATCCTTGTTTTTCTTGGCACTTGATATAACTTACTAATATATCTCTCAATATTCATCACTTTACATATAGCGATATCCCAAACTTTCATAAATCCAGTCTCTTTCTCTCTCTGATTAGACCTTTTTTAAGGATCCACATTGATTACTGTTCTGAAATTCTAGAATACCAAAGAATTACTGCTATGCTTTTCAGCACAGAGGTCTTGTGAAAATATTTTACATGTAACACTAAAGGGTTTTCAGATGCCCTTATGAACTTCTAGTAAAGAATGCGGATTGATTTGATGTCAAAAGGAATATAGTCAAAAAACATTAAAATCTAGTGGTAAAATCCAACTAAGCACTACCAATACAGCTAACCACAATCTATCAAAGAGGAACACACCCTAAAGGAAAGGCTGAATAAGACGAAGAGTTTAAAACCCAGACACATTTTGTTTATCCCAATGCACCCTCAAGATGAAGGTGAAGACGCACCCTGAATACATTTAAATACTTAACAAGTATTAGCCTTGCCTTTTTTTTTTTCCTTCTTCCTTGTTCAGGATTTTCACTTCCCAATTTTACTAAGTCATATCTAGCATATTTAAGTGTTCACAAAAATATTTCACGGAACATCAGTTAAAAAAAAAAAAAGAAAAAAATTCCTTCTCTGAAAGGTGGCACTGTTTGTGCCAGAACACACGTACCCCTTTTCACATTCATGTTTATCTTCTATTTTCAGCTTAGTTCCTCTATCTCTTATTTTTATCTGCCTTGCCTCGGTGTTTATTCAGCTCTCAGTCATTTAAGCTATGGCAAAAAGGATAGCTGAAAAAGATGCTCTAGGAGTTATGTATCCCGTTCACATTAAACGACAATTTAGTTAAGTAACCTCAAGTCACTTCTAAGAACAGGAGAGGTCTCAAAAATCCTAACAAACTACGTGTGATTAAGTAGATGCTCTTCAGTTATTAGAAGTAACTTTTCCAGCCACAAATACAAGACCTGATTAACTCCCACACAGATGGGCACATTCATCGCACATAACTCTTCTTAATTGACCTAGGTTTTTAACAGAGTATTAATTAGAGAATTAAGCTGCAGTCTTAGTCTAAAATCCATCACAATTTAGGTGAAGGAATTTTTCAGAGTTTTAAATGAGTAATAGTTGATCATTATTCATCCTACATTAGAACATACAGAGGAAGTTAAAAATATAGTTGTAAGCCTATGCAAATACAATGATCAGCAATAGTCTCGGACTTGCCTCTAGACTATAATCCTTGAGTGGATGAAATGTTGCGAAGAAGAAATGATCTTGGA